TCTGTTCCAATATTATAAAATATATCAAGAAAATTGTAGGTAACTTTAAGAGAATATATATATTCAATGAAAGTATGATAAAGACATTGAAATTGTTAAATGGTCTAGATTTTTAAATTTATGGTGCTAATTTAGTTTAATAAATTTTAAAGCTTTGAAAGTGACATTGAAGATCTGCTATATTAAAATCCGTAAGTACTAAATAACGTCTTAATTTAGATTTGAATTGCGTTTTTTTTTTTTTTTAATATTAACAATATGCTGAAAGTTTTTCCACAAAATTGGACCCCTGTACTGAATTGAATAAGAACATAACTTTAGATTATACTTTTGAGTTACAAAGTTATTTTCTGAGAACTTGGTGGGGTATTTATGGCTTACTTCTCTAAAATAAGGATAGAATATCGCTGGAGACAGTCCATGTTTTATTTGATACATGAACTGTATGACGAGGAATATGTTAAACACATTTAATGCATTGAGTTTACGTAAAAGTGGCTCACAAGGCACAGTTCTTTTTACTCCAAATACAATTCTACATGCATGTTTTTGTTTAGTATAAATTTTCTTTAACTTAGCGTAGCTGTTGCTTGCCCAAACGATATTGCCGTAAGCTAGATAGCTATGTATGAAGGAAAAATATAAACTTTTTAGAGATCTTATATCCAAAAATGGTTTTGCTTTACACATCATTGCAATGTTTATTGAAGGTTTTCTTTCAAGAGTGTTTATATGTTTCCTCCATGTTAAATTTTCGTCTAAAATAATATCTAAAACGTTTACAGTTGTTTGCCTAGTAATATTTATATTATTGATTTTAAGATTGGGTAATTTTAAAGGAAGGTTTCCTGTTTTGGTTGGTTTGTGAAATAAAATAAATTTAGTTTTGTTAACGTTAAGTGAAAGTTTATTACAAATAAACTATTCATTTACTTTGTTTACTTCTTTATTAACTACTTTAAAGAGGGTTTTAATATCCCTATGAGAATAAAACAGATTGGAGTCATCAGCAAACAAAATAAAGTTTAGTATGTTCAAGGTAAGAGATAGATCATTTATATAAAGAGAAAACAGTAACGGTCCTAAAATTGAGCTTTGAGGAACACGACATTTTATTATACTTTTTGTCGTTTTAACATTTTCATATTGAATCTATTGCTGTCTGTTTGGTAAGTAATCTTTAAACCATAGTAAATTATTGTTTTTTATTCCATAATGTTCAAGTTTTTTTAAAAGAATGACATGGTTGACTGTGTCAAAAGCTTTAGACAGATCAATAAATACTCCTAATGTAAAACGGTCATCATTAAAGACATTGGTTACATGAGTTACTAACTCGGTCAAAGCGTGATCAGTTGAATGATTTTTTTTAAAGCCAAAGTGCTTGTTGTACAACATGTTATTTACTGTTAAGTAGCTGCTTAGCCTTTTATACATTATACGCTCGAGTAACTTAGAAAAGCATGGTAAAACTGATATTGGTCTATAATTTGAAGAATCTGTGTCATCGCCAGACTTAAAAATAGGCAAGACCCGTGCAATTTTTAATTTTTCTGGAACTGTTCCAGATTGAAGAGAAAGATTAAAAATGTGATATAAAGGAGTTTCTATAATATGAAAAACTGATTTAACAACATTTATGCTAATATTATCAAAACCTACACTTGTGTTGTTTTTAAGATTATCTAGAGCATATCGTAACTCATTAATATCTAGTTTAGATTCGTCCATGACCTTATCATATATTTTTAAATAAGAATCAAACGATGACGAACTTGAAGGAATTTTTTCAGCTAAGTTTGGACCAATATAAAGAAAAAAGCTGTTTAGATTTTCAGCTACTATTGACTTGTCATATATAATTTTACTATCTACTAAGAGTTTCTTTGGTTGAATACTTATTCCATTATTTTTTCTGCCAATAATTTCTTTAATTACGCTCCACGTACTTTTGGCATTTCCGTTAGTTTTTTTTAACAACTTTGAATAGTAAATTTTTTTTGATTGTTGTTTACTTTTTCAAATATATTTTTATAAAGTTTGTAATTTGTTTCATTTTTATACGTTTTTTTTTTTTAAGAATTTTTCATACAACTTTTTTTTTTTTCTTTGAAGATTTTAATAAGCCTTTAGACATCCATGGAGTTTGATATGACTTGGTATTTATAACAATTTTTTTCTCCGGAAAAGCTTTTTCATATTGCTCTCAAAAAAATTTAAGAAATAGTTCATAGGCATTATTTACTTCTACCGATTGCATTATAAGATCCCAATCAACGTTATATTTTAAAAGGTGTTGAAACTTTTGTAAGGAGTATTTATTGATCTGCCGCCTGTATATTATAAATTTAGAAGAAATATTATTAATTGTTATATTATTAGTTATTAAAAAAGTAGGAAAATGATCTGATAAGTCTGTTTTGATTATACCTGTGGAAATATAGTTGTTATAAAAATTTTTAGTGATTATATTATCAAGTAGAAGATTTCTTAGTTATTGTGGTTAGTTTATTTATCGTTGGAAAAACATTATGTTGAAGAAGTTTATCGATAAAATGCTTAATTTTGTTTGAAGCTTGTTTTAACAAGTTCAAATTGATATCGCCGACAACGTAAATATGCTTCCGTTCTTTATTGACTTAAGTTAAAAATGTGTTTAAGTGAGTCTTAAATTTTTTTAAGTTACCTGATGGCTTTCTATAAATAACATTAACAATTATATTTTTTGTGGTTTTATTATAAAGTTCAATGCACAATGACTCACAATCTGTTTCATTAACTCATAGGTCATTACGAGGGAAAAAACATATACACAAAGTACATAAAGTATATATACATAAAGTTTAATACATATATGCATAAAGTTTGCAGCACAAAACGAGAAAGACGTGTTTTTTTGAGAATAACAATTTTACAATAAAAATAGAAATAAATATTAAAAATATAGAAAAAATTATCACAAGCAAACTAGAAGAAAAAAAAAAGAAGTATACTAGCAGAAACGGAGAGACTACTCAAAGATCATGAAAAAAACTTCACTTCAATAATAAGTTCGAACTTCAAAATAAAAACAGCAAGATTAGACAAAATGGACGCAGAAATAAACAATAACAAGTTAAATATCCGAAAAATCGAAAATGAAGTTAACGAAATAAAAGTCAGCTTAAATTTTCAAGAAGAAAAATCTAGGGATGAATTTACTCTCATTAAAACAAAATATGAAAATGAAATTATGATGCTAAAAAAGAAATCTATTGACTTAGAGAATCGCTTCAGACGAAACAACTTACGTATCGATGGTGTAAAAGAAACCCCTGAAGAAAACTGGAGTGATTGTGAGAAGGTTGTAAAAGACATTTTTAAAACAAAACTAAATATATTAGGTGAAGTAGTTGTGGAACGAGCGCACAGAGTCGGAACTGTTAAAGATAGAAAAACACCAAGATCGATCGTTTTAAAGCTATTAAATTATTAGGATAAAAATAAAATATTAACCTCAGTAAATAAACTTAAATAATCAGGCATATATATCAACGAAGATTATGCAAAAGAAACGATGCTAGAAAGGAAGAAGCTTTAGAAGAAGTTAAACGGTTACGCAACAAAGGTAAATTTGCAGTTATTAAGTTTGATAAAATTTATTGTCGAGATTTTAGAAAGTAAACACGCGAAGTTTTATTAAGCGAAACGCTATTTTAACTATTTTAAATAATGACGAACTTAACAATAGATTTTGAAAAACTACACTTTAATGTTTTCAAATCGGCAAATGTGTTACTTAATGACTTTTCTGACGCTGATTTGCATTTTTTAACGAAAAGAATTTTAGCTCATCCATCTTTGAAATAAAAACTTTTAAAAACGAACTAAACACCTTAAAGAGTAATTTTACGGTAATACACATTAACATAAGAAGTATTAATAACAACATGGATAAGCTAAAATATTTTCTTATTGAATGCGATTATCTATTCAGTATAATATGCATAACAGAAACGTGGTGTTCTGACGAATCATGCAGAATAAACTCAAGTTTAGAAATTCCTAAGTACAAGTTAATATCGTTTGAAAGAAAAACTAACAAATAGGGAGGTGGAATTATAACTTATATTAGGAATGATCAAATTACTAAAATAAGAGAAGACCTTTCGACTTCAGATGCCGATAGTAAGGTCTTTACAATTGAAATAACTAGCAACAAATCAAAAAACATACTGGTCTCCACATGTTACCGACCGCCTGAAGGTGATTTATTAAAATTTTCCAACCATTTAAAACAAATTTTTATAAAAAACAACAATGAGCAAAAAAAAAAATTCTGTATTGGTGATATAAACATAGATTGTTTACAATATGAAAAAAATGCCAATATTAAACTTTTTTTTGACGAAATGCTTCAATATTACATCTTCCCAATTATTAATAAACCAACCCGAGTAACTTCAACTTCAGTCTCTGCAATTGACAATATATTAACTAATTCAATCTTTGATACTTCTCTAAAGGCAGAAATAATAAAGACAGACATTTCTGATAATTTTCCTGTTTTCTTCTCCTTGATATAAAATCTATAAATAGTTGTAAAATAAAAATTTATAAAAGGAAAACCAACAAATTTGCTATTCAACAATTAAAAGACTCACTATCGGCAGAACAATGGGACAAGTTATACCAAGAATGCAACCTTGGGAACACAAACTCTGGTTATAATTACTGTTAAAAAATTTTCCTAAAAAACTATAATATGCATTTCCCAATTAAAGAAAAATTACTAAAAGAAAAATATTTAAAATGTCCTTGGATCACCAAAGTTATTAAAAAATCCTCCAAAAAACAAACAAAAACTTTATATCAAATACTTAAAAAATAGAAGTGAGGCAAACCTAAATGTTTACAAATAGTATAAAAACTTGTTTGAAAAAATTAAAAAAAAATTCGAAGAAAAACTATTACTCAAATAAAATAAAAAACTCAAATGGTAATATTAAAAAAACTTGGGA